CTCTGAAAATCTCATGAAAATATCATTAAAATATTTTTTGAAAATGTATTTTACATGTTCATAATTAACTAGTTCAATAATATCTTCAAAATTAATTTTTGGTATAAAAAATTATGTAGTTTTCCATTAAAAAGGAGAATCTCATGTAGCTGTTAATGTTATGTTGACTGAGTTGTGGAACTGATGTGGATGATGGTATATTGATGCACGTGATCTATCTTGTAGCAATGAAACAAAAGGAAAACGAAATATGAACGTAAAGAGGAAACTTGACTTTTAAGGAAAAGAAAAAGAGTTGTCTAGAGTTTCTGGTGTTTGTTTATAAATACCAAGAGGCGTTCTCATGAAGATTTACGTGCCTAGGGTATTTTAGAGAGATGTACATATGTGTGGCGTCATCCCATTATACAGATTTGTAGATCTGTTGGTGGTAATTCGCTCTGAAGATTGCATCGTTGAGAAGAAGGTGATGCAGCGATGCTGCCGGTTGGTAGTAAAGCATGCGGGTTTGATACTTATCTTCATAGATAATTCATATAGAAAAGGATGGTATGCATTGTTGTGCTGGATACCATACACCATTGTAGTTGCATTTTGTTCTAGTGGATTATTTATGCATTTGGTCCCAGAGAGTAGGAAACGAACCCTAGTTAACAAATCTTTATATGTTCTTTACTTTATGCTCATACAAACAAACTCAACACAATCGAACGTATAGATTAGCCACAATTACGTACTTTCAATTGGTATCAGAGCAGGACTCGATAGAAATATGTTCTTATTTTCGGATATGATCCTAGATCCGGGTTTTGTGGTTGAGGAACAAAACTAGTATTAGATTAGGGTTCATCAAATTTCTTTGTCACGAAGAAAAAGATTGAAAGGTTTAGTTCTTCGCCGTGGGGTACTAGGGAAGGAGAGATGGAGTTGCTGCATTTTTTTGATCGTGTCATTCAGATGGGCCGAAGACTAGGTTAAGCCCAAAGTGGTTAAAGAGGAATGAATCTAAAAGAAACAATGTAAGACAATGGTCTTAAAGTCTATCTTCGTAATAGATTCGAGTGATAGAGCTCAATTTATGGTGGTGATGTAATATGATTCTGGGTAGAATCTGTTTGTCCTTTGATCACTTTGTGAGGTTGAATAGATGCGGATGATGATGATTGCGGAATTATGAACTTC